CCCGTTGACGTTCGCGATCCAGAGGGCTTTGGAGCCAGAAGTTGGAGTACCAAACACTGACTCCAGGTACTCATCTGAGTACCTCACTGAGAAAGTTATGTGCCCCCCTGGTTATGAGCAAGTTACACAAGTGTTGGTGAATCTGTCGACATGCACCTTAATGAGAATACTTTCTTTTTACTAGATCCCACAAGTTCTGCTCCGGCTAAAGAAGTATCCTCCGAGTGACAAAGGACAGGTACAAGAATAATTTCCCTCATGTCATGTTTTTAAAAAAAGCGAATCACTGATCACTTTTTAAAAACATATTCATGTATCTTCCAGGACTTCATGGATGACGTGAATATAGCGTTTCAGTATTTACTCCAGCTCACACCATTACTGGACAAAGCTGATCAGAGATGCAAGTAAGTGCCCTAAAACCTCAGTAATCTGATTTTCAAAGATATTTTAGATAAGAAAGCCAGCTTGATGCCTGGTAAGCCAGCACCATGATGCTTATCACTTTCCCTGTGCTTCTTCACATAGTTGCGACTGCCTCGGCATGCTGCTGCAGGAGTGCAACAAGCTCGGTCTGCTGTCGGATTCAAACACAACCTGCCTCACGTCCAAACGGTACGAGGTCCCATCTCATGATGAACATGGTGTCTAGAAATAAGTGTTCTCTCTCAGAGGCAGTGTTGTTCACCATATTCACACAATCCACCCTATCCCCTCCATCCTGTCTCTGTCTCTCCTCCACTCCTCCCTTTCTTTCTTTCCATCCCCCCCTCTGCACATTTGATTCAGGGCCGTGCAGGGAGTTTTCCCCGAGGTTAAAAACGGCAGAAAATGCTAACATCCAGCCCAACCCCGGTCTCATCCTGCGAGCTGAGCCCACTGTCACCAATATTCTCAAGGTAGAGCACCATAATGTGATCTAAACTGCACAGGGCATCCTCACTGTATTGTATAAAATGAGTTACGTGCTGAGAAAAAGTCAAAGAAAAATGTGTCGATGTATACAAGCGGCTTTCAAAAATCACATAATTAAATTAATCACGTATACTTTTTTTAAAGTAATTTTTCAGATACATTTTTTGTGTATATATATTTATTTTAACAATAGTTTTAAAAATGTTTAGCTGCTAATTTATTTTACTAATTCCCAACTAAATTCCTCTTACTGTGTTTATGTATACACCAAAGCATGTGTAAACGTACTTGGCAATTAACCTGATTCTGATTGTTAAAAATAACAAATTGACATCATGTATTCCTTTGCATTCCTCAGACAGTAGATGCAGACCACTCCAAGTCGCCTGAGGGTCTTCTGGGTGTCTTGGGTCACATGTTGTCTGGAAAGAGCCTAGATCTGCTCCTGGCAGCAGCAGCAGCCACTGGGAAACTCAAATCCTTCGCCCGGAAGTTCATTAAGTGAGTATAAGCGAAACAGGGAAGACAAAATCCCCCTTTTAGTCACCGGAGTCATGACTCAAACAAATGTGACCTGCATGTTTTAAACGAGATGTTTCATAATGTGTGTTCTTTTTTTTTTTCCTCTTTGTTGTAGGCTTAATGAGTTTCCCAAGCACATCAGCGGCGAAGGATGTGAGTTTAAAAAAGATTGACTTGTTCCAATTTGTGAAAGCCTGAGATATTGCTTATTAAATGACACACTAACATTGAGGAGTTTTCCCTCCTTCAGCCAAATCGGCGTCAGTGCGGGCCCTGCTCTTCGACATCTCCTTCCTCATGCTCTGCCATGTGGTGCAGACATACGGTTCTGAGGTTAGTTGATTAATAGCAATTCAAGCTTTTCAGAAGAAGTATTTTGTTTACATCTTTACGGACAATCAGCCTGCCCTTTCAGTGTTTAACCACAAGATGTCCAGAGAGGGCTGTGCAGCATCACTGAACTGGATTGTATAGATTCATCTGAACCATGTCGTCTGTCCTCTTTGAACGGTTAGGCCTACATTCAAACAGCTCATGGTTGTCCTATGCATCTTGTTTCAGGTGATCCTGTCAGACCCCAGCCCTTCAGGCGAGACCCCCTTCTTTGAAACGTGGCTGCAGACGTGTATGCCTGAAGAGGGAAAGACCCTGAACCCAGACCACCCCTGCTTCAGACCCGAGCCCGGCAAAGTGGAGAGTCTGGTCACCCTGCTGAACAACTCCTCAGAGATGAAACTAGTGTAAGAGATGTTAACCCTGTGAATGCTTTATCTGTCCATTCACTTTATCTCATTAATTACTATTTTTCATACGACACATTTTTCTGGGTTACGTGGGGATTCATTTTTGAGGGACCTCTGAAGAACATCTTACACTGTTAGTTACAATATGACAAACAATGACAGCCATATTTTCATTTTCATCAATGAAAAGAACCCGGACCCATTTCTACTTTTGGGAAATTAAGGGGAACATAATTTAGACTAAATGGACCACCTAGAACACATTTCTGACAAGAAGCCCCCCCTAGTTTCAAATATCTAAAATGTATGTCACATTGGGCTTTGATCGTAAAATAACTCTTATTTTTAACTTCATTAACGAGGAAGATTTTTTAGTTTAAATTAGTTTGAACATTCTTTGAATTGAAGAATAAAGAATATATTAACTCAATTTAATTGAATCAGCTAAATTAACTGAGCAGATCATAATCATATTTCTAATTGTGCATATATGTCACTCCGGGTTTACTGTGAAAGTTTAGGGTTAAAGTCCCGATGTGACACTCTCATTTGTTTCATATCAATTTGATCAAGACATGTTTCCACAACAGGTTAATGTCATAAAGGACATGTTATGTAAGCATTTAAATTCTTAAATGGCTTGAATTTTACCGTTAGCAACAAACAAGAATGCTTTGGAAATGTAGGTAGTCCTGTCACATGTGTTATTCTGGCACATGGACGTCTTGGACATGTTGTTATGGGAACACAAAATCACATGACCTGGCCCATGACCCACCAGACTGTTAGTGTGTGTCACTTAGGGACT